GAAATTTTCAGCTATGATGATCTCTGTGTAACCCATGATTCCAGAAAAAGCCCCCAGGCCTCTAAATCCTCCTTCCCTTCACCCATATCTGGTAGAGGTTGTACATGGCCCAATCTTTGCTACGTTTAACAGGCCAGAGCATCCCTCACTGGCTCTGCCTAAAATGACAAAAGGCATCTTTCCGTGCTACACACAGGAGTCATCACTGTGGTCTCTTTAGCATCCTTGAGCTCCTCACCATTGGATCACAAGCTCAGATACCTACGGGGGCCTGACAGGTAAAGCTAACATCTACTGAACCTTACTCTGTGCCAGGCACTATTTGAACCACATTATACAGATTATTTAACTCATCTGATTTCCACAACAATCCAGTGACTTAGAATCTATTCTTATCCTTCTTTTATGGTTGAGGAAACTGAGGCACAGAAAGGTAAAGGAACTTTCCGAGGTCTGACAGCTGGTGAATGGAGGTGGGGGGTGGCCTTTGACCCAGGCTGGTCCACCTACAAAAATAACACAGACAATGTGAGAATGTAGGAGTATGTGCTGGGAAACTGGAAAACTGGTCACTGGTCACATCTACCTCGTGGGCTTCCAGTTTGCACTCTGTGATTTAGGTTTCTGTCCCTCTAGGACAGAAATCTCATTTGATTTCCACCAACCTTGTGCTAAACATTAACAGCATTGCTACATGGGTAGGCTGAGTGCGCGCGCGCGCGCGTGTGTGTGTGTGTGTGTGAAGGAGAGAGAGAGGGATCCCTCTGAACTTGTGCCAGCTGGAACTGGCTTTAGCTACCCTTGTGACCCCAGAGTTGAAATCAGGATTATGACCCAATTTAAGAATATACAAAGGGATAAAGTGTGTTAGGAGTCGGGGGAGAAGGAAGCAGAAAGCTCCCTGTGCACTCAGGTTTTCATACACCATAATCTGCCTTCATGGCCAAACGTGAAAAACATTACCTGAAGGTCCCTGAGCCCAGCACATCATCAGCCACCCCCAGCCCTGTCCCTGGACGTTCAAGCCATAATAGGTAAGGAGGTGAGAAGGGAGAGGAAGTTTCCAAGGAGCAGCCCTCCTCCTCGGGCCACAACCTTGCGGAGCCCTCCCCATGGGTCAGGCTGCTTGCTGGATGCCCTGGATTAGAGCAGCTGGCTGGGAAAGCATGGAGGGAGGGCCAGGCTGGAGTGAGCTGTTTGAATGTTACCATGGTAACAGCAGGAGGTTGGAAGGCTCCAGATCTGGGCCAGTGCCCGGGCTACCTTGATTGGATTCTTTCCCTGAGCCAGCTGTGCTTTCCTGAGCAGGCTGGAATCCCTTCACTCCCGTCCTCGCTGCATTTAATCATCCCATTCTCCCCGCAGGTGCCAGCTCACATCACACCCTCTTTGAAGCCTAACCTAGCTTCCTCATGGAATTAACAGCTTCCTCCTTGCTGTTCCCATAACCATTTGTTTGCATTTCCCTTGAGACCCTTAATTAGTTGTGCTTTATAGTTCTTCTGTGCGCATCCATTTCCCCAACAAAAAATAAATTCCTTGACTTCACAGTCTATATCTTTAGTTCAATTTGGATTCTCTACCCAGGTAGGTGGCAAGTTTCTGCTTCTTGTTGGCAACATTATCTGGACAGCCTTAGAAAAGAGAGAAGTTCCTGTGCACACAGTGGGTACTCAACAAATGTGCACTCAATTGTGTGCTGCTGTACTGCAGAGAGCGGAGATGGGAGTTCTTGGCCTCCTCTGCTTCAATTGTATCAACAACCCAGGCTCAGGCAAGGAAGACAAAAGCCAACAAAGGGAGTTCCTTCCTCTGGGGAAAGACACGGAAAGCCTTTTGCAGTAATAACAGTGACGTAGTGAGAGGCCGAATACCACACACATGTTCTCTACTCAATCGGCTTGGCAACCGGAAATTACCAAATGGAATGATATCAATTCGTAAACACCAAAATATTCAGGAACACAGTCAGCCTGGGCTTTCCAACATGGTGCTAGTCTCACTTTCAAGTGACGTCGTTGTAATATTCAATATGGCGGCTGTGAGGCCAAGTCCGATCTCCATTTGAGGCCAGTGATCTTTGAAAGTCAGATCTCACTGCTGTCATCTCTGTTTCTTGGTACTGTCAGCCTCCCTGGAGATTCAAAAGTAGCCAGTCCCCAAAAGAGGCCTGCACAGTGTGCCTATACCCTGGAACGCCCAAGAATGTGTGGCATCTGAGCTCACTCGGATCCCAGGCTGAAAGAGTTCTCCAAAACCAGAATATTGAAATTCCAATTGGTAGACTTTTTTTCCCCTGAGTATCTTCTTCTATCTGACCATAGTGCTGTGAGTGAACCCAGAAAGCAGCGTGGTGGAGTGGAATGAGCCCTGCACATTTAGGGGAAGAAGAATTGCCACATCATCCATGATTAGCTGTGAGATCTTGGGTATTTAATTTCCATGAGCCTCAGTTTCCTCATCTATAAAAATGTTCGTTCATTAATTCAGCAAATATTTTCTAAGGGCAAAACATATCCCAGATTTGAGGATGTCATGATGGGAATAGATTCTATCTAGAAAAGAAAAAAGGTAATTAAACAATTAGCCTGAAGCAGGTTCTGGGCTGTGGTGGGGTCACAGGGACAGTGGGAGGGGTGGCACTACCTAAATGAGGTCACAGAAGTTTCCCAAAGAGAACTGTGTTTCAGCTGAGACTTAACTGAATAGAGGCCGGGAGATTCCGGGGTAGTGGTTGGGGTGGGATAGGGGGAGAGCTGAGGGTTCCAGGTAAAGAAGCTTGTGTGAGGCCCCGAAGTGAGAGAGGGACCTCAGATCTCGCAGAGTCTGAGAAACAGAAGCCTTTGTAAACTGAAAAGTGACTGGTTGCCTTTGTTCACACCTCTCTTGCTGCTTTTTAGGAGTTAGTATAGTGAGGACAGCATCGTGCTGGGAAACTGGAAAACTAGAACCCTGTCTGCCCTGGGCCACTAACCAGCCTTGCAATTTTAAACAAATCTTGAACACATTTCTGCTCTTTAATTTATTCATCTATGAAATAAGGCAAGAACTCCCTCCCCTCCTCACATTACTGTCAATTGAATGAAGAAATGTTTGCAGAGCCTTTAAAAAATGAAGAGGAGTTGTAAGTGTAGGGTCTTTGACAGGTCTTTCCCAGTCATAAATAAACACAAGCCCAGTTGTGCATCAGCTGGAAGACTGGAGAAGTGATTGCATCAGAGTTTTTCTCTCTCTGCCCCCATTCCCAAGGGTCAGGAGATTAGGAGCAGTTTCCTTCTGATTGGTTTGGTGATATTTCATTTCAGTTCATAATCATATTTTGTTTAAGGGAGAAAGTATGCTATTAATAAAAGGGTTGTTTTTAAATTGTCATTACTGAGCCCAGGGGTGCGGGCTTAATCCTGCATGATCCTGAGCTCTGGCCGAGGCATACTTTGAATAACGTGGCCTTGGAAACATTGATGCTGCTCTCTCCCCTGCTCACCAACTTTCGAGGCCTCCCTGGGGCCCGTTACGCCAAACCTGTGTTGTGCCCTCCAAGCCCTCTGTGAGGTCACCAGTCTTGCCTATACCACCTCATTCCCCATTCTTCCCCAGAAGTTTTCTTCACTGCCATCGCCGTCCCAAACTCTGTGTGTGCTGCTCTCTGTTCCTTTGCTCTTGCTTTCCCATCTATCTAGCTTACCCCAACTTCCCTTCTCCCACTCCCCCAAATGCCCATCCCTCCATGTGGTAACATGCAGCACACGGCCAGCACAACCTCTATCTCCTCCTTGCCGTCTCCTCCTTAAAACTAAAGCCAACGCTGATCCCTCTCCTTTCTAATGGTCGTGCATTTTTGCACTTTCTGCTATTTACTTTAGCCTTTAATTGCTTTGTTATTTTTGAAAATTAAACTTTGCAGGGCATTTCAGTCTATAAAGAACTCCTGTTTATATTATTATTGGACTTTCGCAACAACACTGGATGGTGATGAAGTCAGTGTGATTATCATCTTCCCATCTTACAGATGAGGACCCTGAGGCTTGGGGACTCCAGGACTCACTCTCACCTGGCAGGACTCACGGTTTTCTAAGTTTCATTCAGAAACCCTCCTAGGATAGAAACCAGTTCATCCGCTTCTGTTTTTCCTCTTAGCACCATCTTGATCTTGATAGCAAAGACTGAACTAACACTTCTCGAAATGAAATCCATATGTAACTACAGGAAAAATAACTCAAATGGCATATTTTATTGATGCAAAGAATTGCCGCCTCTTCATGTATAAATAACAATGTGTTTGCAGCATTATTTTTATTTTATTATAGTGACCCAGTAAACAACCTAAAGGAGATTCACACACGTTCTGTACTAACCTCCCCACCCCCACCCCAGGGTTAATCAGGGGACAGCCACAAATGCAGGTACCACTCCTTCTGCTTGCATGGCTCCACCACCTCCCAGCAAAGGATGGAATGTGCTTGTCCGAACTTGCTCAGCAGGGTGGACATGCTCAGCTAATCCTGGGAAACCTGGGGTCACTTGGGCACGTGGAGGATCCAGATTGCCCAGCACCACTACACAGCCAGGTGAAAGAGCCACTGGGGGTGTACACGGCGGGGGGAGGGGGGGGACAATTCTGCATTGGAGGCACGAAGACCTTCCAGCATGAGAGCAGATTTCCCAAGAATTTAGGCTTCTCTGACTACCTGGCAGAGTTGAGGAGTGATGGTTTTTACTGTGTCCCTACATCTGTCCAGAGTAATACCAATTAGGACTCTGAAGACTCGTACAGTTCCTAACAGCCTTGGAGCACATTCACACGCATTGTCTACTTTGACACAAGGACACTTGAGGTGGGCATTCACTTCCTGTTGTTTGTTTACTTTAAAAAGTGTGTGCACATGGTCACACCTTCAGAATTGTGTGGAAGGACTGAGAGCAGGCAGTCTCCCGGCCCAGCCCGCAGTATCCTTCCATACAGGCAACACATACTATCACTTTCTTATGCATCTTTCCAGATTTTTCCCCATTTTGGAGATGAAGAAACTGAGGACCAAAACAACCGAATGACCTTCCCAAGGACGCACACTTAGTAAGTCACAGGTGAGAATTTGAGCCGGCTTCTCATACCATAGTCCCTGAGCTTCCCCTGTACTTGTGGATCCCAGGTTATCTTTTAGCCATGAATTCAGCTCATGTGAAAACCTACAAGAGTGTAAACAAATAAAAGCAAGTAAAAGTGAAAGCCAGCCCTGGAGGCCTGAAGCGCCACAGGCTCTCCACTGAGGACCAGAACTGCCTACCCATTAGGGCGTTACAAGGACACCCACCCCTTCTCTGGCTGCTCCAAGCCAAACCCCATCTCAGGATCCTCTCCTGCCTTCTACTTAGCCAAGGCAGGTCCACATATTCAGACCGTTTGGCTCTATCAAAGTGTTCCCAGCCAGTGTCCCATTTCTTCAAAACCTGATACTTTGAGGGTCGGTCTGATTAAAAAAATGTATTCTGGACTGCTAATGGGAGAAAAAGCCTAAAGGCTGGTGTGGAGCCTGCGGGCAGTCCTGGCCTGAGGCCACCGGTGGAGAGCTGGGAGACCAGGCCTGAGTTCCCTGGCCTCTCCCTCCATCCCCCCACCTCCCAGTGGCCCCAGGTACTCTTCAGAGAGTCTTCCGTAAAGCTTTGAGGTCTCCAGGCCAGGATGGAACAGAGGTGGTGGATGGGGAGGAGTGAGGAGGTGGGGCTGAGGGAAGGGGGCTGTGTGTGTGTGTCTGTGTGTGTATACATGTTAGTATCTACGGGGCGCACCCCCTGCCGTCCCCAGCTGAAGCAGCTTCTTCCATCCATGCTCCCAGATCACCTATGTCCGCTAATACCTGCAGCTTCCTCGGGGAAGAGCATTTCAGAGGCCGAGAGGGAGAAGTTTGGGGGTGAGGGCAGGCAAACTAAGGGGATCAGGGATGGGATGAAGCCAGTGGCAGCTCCAGAATTTCTCTATAGCAGGAACTTTAGGGGTAACAATCTGTTTGCCCAGAGGCACTTAAAGCTGCATTGACGAGACTGAGTCAGTGTCATCTATATCAAAGAAAGAGGGTGCCGAGGCAAAAAAAAAAAAAAAGCGGGTGCTGCTTGCCTCAGTGGGCGCTCAATAAATAGTTTAGTGCACTCATATATGTCCTCTGCATTCACCAGCAATTATTTATCAAGAGTGTAAAAAAGGATGCAGTGTTAGGGATGCGGATTTAAACCTCTGCAGGCAGGAAGTGGAGGTTCATCCTCCTGCAGCATCAGCTCCTCTGCACAATCCACCCCCGGAGTGAGCTTGCGTCCCCAAGCCTGGTGAATCCGCACTGCCCCACGCCGCGCCTTCCGCAGCGGGGAGCTAGGACTCAAAGAGAATGTTCCTGCTCCCTGCCTCTGTGATTTGGCCTTCACGTTTCAAGCCTTAATGTTACAGTAAGGTAGCTTTTGGCTTTTGATTGCCTCGAACTTGTGTTAACATTAAATGAAGGGAAGAAATGGAAAGGAAAATAAGCCATATCTGTATGGCTTTTGAGTTGCATAATTGTATATTTTTGCCACTCCATTGGTTTTCAACTATTCCAGCCTGTAAACCTCCTCCCCCCACCACTGAGAAAAATAAATACGTCAGTCATTCAGTTATTGCTGCGAAGTTTGCAGAACTCTAAGTTCTCTTCTCTAATATGAAAGAGAATTATGCAACTTTAAATTTAAGATCTATTTTTTAATTACCACCTGCGTGGGAGACGCTGAATCACACAAGTGCTTGGTTGTCTTCTTGCTTTTTCAAAAAACACTCTTTCCCTCCAAGAGGATATGACGTTTGAAGATTTAAGCGTCCGTGGTAGCAGTGGCCACACAGCCTCCCCTTTATTTGTGGAACAGAGAAGCCGCACCCCCTTCAGCCACTCCTGGCGCCCAGGTGACCTCAGAGCCTTGGCTCACACTTCCCAAAAATAGAACTTTACCTCCGTGCCTTACCACACCCACAAAAATTGGCTCCAAGGTCTTCTACCAAATAATTTTCAAGAGTGAAAATGGGACCTGAATAACCCAGGTATTTCACTGTAACCATGGCTACAGGTTTTGTTAGCATCAAGACCAGGATGTGGTCAGATCGGATATATACAGACAGCAAACACAACGGTGAGTGATGTCAGAGTGTGTGCCCATAAATTCTCCAAATTGGAAACGTAGCTCCTAATGGCTCTGATTCATGAAAGACTGGTGGGGGGAGGGAGGGGAGAGACGAGGAGGGTGCAGGGCTGCATCGGTAAGAGACGCTCAGGGTTCTAGTTTTAGCTTTAATTCAGCTTTTTAGTATAATCCTCTAACATACTACTCCGTTGCATTTGGGTTGCAATTTTCCCTTCCCAGTGTGCTTTCACATGTCTTGTCTGTTCTTCACAACAATCTTGAGAGAGATCTGGGACAGCTAATAGCCTCATTTCTCAGATGAGGAAAGGGCTCAGGAAGCTTAACTGATTGGCCCAAGGTCGGGGGCTTGGAGGACAACTGCCCCCGGGCTAGAACTGGGTCTTCTGACTCGCAGCTTAATATTCTTTCCACTGCACCCGTCTGCCAGCCTCTTGTATCATGCCTGGGAACATTCTGATATGCATTAATTCCTCTTGCAAACATCCCTCATCATTATCATTTGTCTGATTAGCCAAAGACCAGGGCTACTCCATCAAACTGGAGGTTACAGCTGGAAAGTAAGGCTGGTCTTTTGCCTTTTGTCCTCGTTTGTCTTTTTCAAGCCCCCTGTGTGGCTCCCCCCCACATAGATGACAGCACAAAGAAGGGGTAACGTAGTCCCTACTGTGGAGGGAGCGTACAGTCCAGGGGCTGCAGGCTTCAAATGCCTCCAGGGACCAGGTATGGGACAGGACAGGACAGCGACCAGGTGGGTGAAGCAGGCAGGGTGGGACTAGGGTGTGGGATGGGCACAGCATAGGCCCTTCTAAAGCTCCAGCAGATTGTGGCTATGTGGGAGGTTAATGTGGCCAAATTTAGGACTAGCTAAAGATTGAGCATTTTATATGAAATCAGAGAAGGCAAAAAATAAAATAAAATAGAAGCGCCTGTGGGTTGGCTATAGCTCCTGGACTGCCAGTGAGCACTTACAGGAGTCTATGCCTTTGGGTCCCCAACAGCCACTGTCATATGTGCTGTTGTTCTGCACTCCTCTTCGTACACTTTCAGTCCTGTTAAAATGTGAGCTCCTCGAGGTCACAGAGACATCTTAATTAATAAAGTGTGTATCCATAGGGTGTGGCACACATGGCAGGCTTTCCAGCGTTTGATGGATGAATGACTGAGTGAACACCCCATCATCCTAGAAGAGAAGGTCCAGAGACTGAAGTCCTCAGCCTCCTGAGAATGGCAGCTGTGTAGTCACAGCAGGATCTTGGAACTCAGGACTAGAGCCAAACCTCTTCTACACTTTAGTAGCTCCAGGGCCTTCCACAAATTGCTTAATCTCTGATAGCCCCAGGTTCGTCATCTGTATAATGGGAATAAAAGGCCCACCTTCTGAGTTGGTGAATGAGGCCGTGTCTGTAAGGCCTTGATTACACACACAGAGTGGCGCACTTCCTAAGAGCACAACAAATGGTAGCTTTTTGGTTCAACAGATGATTCCCTGTTCCTGTGAGAAGCGGTAAGATGTTTTGCCAACCCTCCGCTGTGAGGCTTCGGCCTCCCGAGGTGTCTGTGTCAAAAGAGGCGAAAGGAAAACAAGAGAGCACTCTAGCTGAAACAAGGAGGGGAAAGCTGATAGTGAGGGATAGGACAAGGCACCCCAAGAAACTAGATCCCAGAGGGCAGGAGGGCGGGAAGAGGGACGCACGCAGCTGGGAGTAGATGGAGATCAAGTTAGCAGGAAACCAAGGGAAAGGCAAGCGTGTCTGCCCTGACGCCCTAGAAGCTGGCTAATCACGCTTTAGACCAGTTCACTGAAAAAGGGACCAAACTCGGATTAGAATAAAATCGTCTTTTAGTAAATATATGTTTTCACCTTTCACACAATATGAATAGTATAATAACAAATATAATGCTATGTAGTTTTCAAGGCAATTTTAAGGTACCCACTGTGTGACGTGTACTTGGGCTACATGCTTTATACACATTATCTCATTTATTCCTCCCAGTAGTGCATTCATTCCTTAATGACAAACACTGCCGGTCCACTTTCTCCCAGGCGCCGTGCTAGGTATTGCGAATACAGCGATGTAGCAGGTAGGTAAGGCACCCAGCCCTGTGAAAAATGTGCTGATACCTCTGTTTACAGAAGAGAAAACTAGACTCAAAGAGCTTGAGAGAATGTGGCTCAGACTCTACACCTATGTGAGTGGAGGAGGTGAAACTCTTGACTGTGCATTTTCTGGTTTAGGAGAAGAAAAATCAGGAAACTTCCTTGATGATCTAGTGATGTAAATATGAGGAAGTGGTTGACTTGCTGACAGGCTGGAGAGATTGTATCAATCCCATTTAGCACGTTGGAATATTCAGAGTATCAGAGAGACACGACTTATCCTAGTGGTGACTGAAAAAGACTAATTATTCTCAGAGTCTCTGGCGTGGACCCTTTGGAGACAGTGTAACAGGGATGAGAAGAGAAAAAAGGGAAGCAAGAGGGAAGGAGGAAGAGTAAAGGAGAATGAAGTAGCTAGAGATTCTATGCCTTCCGTAAGAGAAAGTCAGAGAAAGCCCAAATGACAACCTTTTAAACTCTTTTCATTGTTCTTAAATTGTTCTCTGATTATTTCCCTGGCATCATCTTTGAGTAGACAGAAGGTGTCTTTTACCTCCCTGTATTTCCTAGCATAGCTTAATTAATACTTGATTGATTGAAAGATTGACTCATTTGAACCTGGAGTGAAATGTAGCTTTTTAATTTTCTTTTCTGCTGAACCTGAAATAGAACATATAGTAATTAGGAAAGGATCACTTGTTATCAGAAAGTCCCAGCTACAACGAGCTCTTTGTAACTAAGCAAACGGAAGGTAGGTGATTGTTTAGGAGCTCATAAAGCACAGCCCCCACTCCCAACTGCTTTCAGTGATATGGGATTTTCTTGATCG